GATTACAATACATTTTGTATTGTACAGAGCATTACCCAGAACAGTTTGTTTTGGACTTTGCTGTTCCCTCTGAATTTAAATTATGTGTTAGTATTCTCTTATGCTGCAGCTAGTCACTGTTCAAAAGCAGGTCAATGTTCAGCAAAATGTATTACATATTAGTATCTTGGGTTGCAATAAAAAGAATTGCTCCACTTCTTATCTACTGATTGTGTATGTGCATCAGTTTATCTGGTGGATCTTGAAATGTCGCCAATTCCAGTGTAGTAAGAGGCAATTAGGGCATCTTAGTAAAGTTGTCACTAAGAAATCTACTTTCTTCTGTTGACTGATCTGCCTAACGATACTGGAAGAATTAATTGAGTCAGTGGAGATAAATGGCTCTGCACTGACCATGAAGTGACTTTCAAACCATTGATTTGTCGCTTATCTTGGCTAATAAGATGCTGTTGCTGGCAATGGTTGTTCAGACCTAAGCCACTTTGTGTTACCTTTTGTCATGAGAAGTTTCTCTTTTATGGAGCAACAACAACAACAACAACAATCTTTATTTATAGAGCACATTAAAAGCCAGGGGCATGCCAAAGTGCTTTACATGAAACAATAAAACAATAAAATGATTTACACTAAAACATCAGAATCATATAGGTGTGGGATTATGTTCACAGGTAAAAACCACTAATAGGAACAGTCAATAGCACACAGCTGTAGCAAAGAAGAACTGTACCATCATACACAGTGATAGAGGACATAGGCAACGCAACAATAAAATAATAAAATAATTAAGACTATAACGTCAGAGTCATATAAGTGTGAGATTATGTTCACAGGTAAAAACCACTAATAAGAATAAACTATAGCACACAGCTAAAGCAGAGTAAAGCTGTAAAGCTGAACCATCAAACACAGTGATGGAAAACATTGACAGCACAGGACAACGCAAAACAACCAGACACATTAGAACATTAGGACAACTCACTAGAAGCAAGGCGAGAATTTAACTGGTAGAAAAAGCAATTTCAAACAGATATGTTTTAAGCCGTGATTTAAAAGATTGAATAGAATCAGACGCCCGGATGCCAATCGGGAGACTGTTCCACAGCTCAGGTGCAGCTAGAGCGAACGCTCGATCACCTCTAGACTTCAAGCGAGATCTGGGCTGAACCAACAATGACTGTGAGGAAGATCTTAAGGCCCTCGTAGGAAGATATGAATTTAAGAGTTCCTTAAGATAACTTGGCCCTGTGTTATTGGTAATTTTAAAAGTAAACAACAGAATTTTAAATTGAATACGAAATTTCACAGGCAACCAGTGCAGATCGGCAAGGACGGGAGTGATGTGATCAAACTTCCTAGTTTTAGTTAGAATGCGTGCAGCGGCATTCTGGACTGTCTGTAATCTATGTAAGAGGGTAGAGTGGAGACCATAATAAAGTGAATTACAGTAATCTAGTCGTGACGTAACAAAGGCATGGATAAGCTTTGTGACTGTACTGGTGTTTATCAAGTTTGAAGTGATAAAAAATTGTTATAGAGTAGGATTTGATGCCTTACTGGGATACTATTTGATTTCCAAGTAGCCAAATGTCTGCTGTACAAAAGGCCTAAATAATGATTTAAACACCTATATGTTAATTGATCTTTCTTTCTTTCGTGGATAATATTGCTTTTATTTGTGTTTTCCAATTTTATAATCTTTCCTAGGAACACTACGTGGTTGACAAAGGTATAAGTACTATATAAAATGACACATTTAGAAAAGGTAGGTATTTCTAAAGAAGGTTTAAGTGCTCATGAAGGTGAAACATTAAATATAGCACAGTGAGGAGCTTTCAGTGGTTGAAAAGCACTGCAAGAAGTGAAAGTGACATTCAAATACAATAAGTGAAGGTTTCCCTTCTGCACTTTGTGTTCGAAGACACTCATTTAAATTATAAACTTCATTACTTTCCTCTATGGTGCATTTCATTTAAGAGGTGAGGTGCAGGTGCTGAATTGATGGAATGCACTGAAAGACATTTCAGCATTTTATCTTTTCATAATGCAGCAGAGGCAGCCATGACACCTAACCCAGATAAATACTATAATTATCAGTTCTGCCTCTCACCGCTCACCCGTCTGCCGATCGTCTGTCATATCCATCATGCCTACACAAACACATGCATGCACACAGGGTTTTGATGTGTCAAATCTGTATCAATCACGGCAAGTCAAAGTGAGATTTAGTGCAGCATCCTGCTGGGGCAACCACACTGTGGGAGAGTCCATATTAAACTGTCAGCTGAAGTGGGCCAGATTGTGTTAGGCCAGTCTATCCATTCATCTGCGCTAATGGTTTTTTATGCCTCCATCCATTTCATGAATGGAAGGGTGGTGAGGAGAGAGGAGGACAGGTCCCTGGAGACGAACAGAGGTGAGGAGAGTAGGGAATGAAGAAAAATTGAAAAGTTGGAAAAAAGAAAGCAACTAAATGATTATATAAATAATAGAGATGTGAACAAAAGCATAGCAGAGGAAAAAAGCAATCACAGACATGGCGTATATAGAAAAAATATGTGGTAAGCTTTGGCACATAATGAAATTAGGTAATTTTGTTCACTATATACAATTAACTACATTCTTATTTCAACATTTGCCACTGTTTTAAATGAGCAAGCTCACAGCTTCTTTTTTAATAGCAATATGGACAAAACAAGGGCTAATGAAATGAAACTGGATGCCACGTACAACAGCTAGCAGAAGCTCTACTAACAAGGCTGTATGGTAATGAGCTTGAGGAGGTGAAAACACACATGCATGAGTGGACACACCCACCCCTCCTCACACACAGATACACATTACCTCAACAAGCTCTCATTTTGCAATGACCACTTTTAAGAGTTTGTTGCTATGGCAACACCGTGATTTATTTCCCAATTAAGAGTTAGGGAACTTGTTCGCTTACAACCGCTAATATCACTGCACATAAATTACCTTCAATGCAGTCTATTTCCTATTAAAAACAAAGCAACATCACTATCTTGCATCCTCTAAACGAGCAAACTTCTGTACAAAGAGTTTGCTTTCTTGTGAGTTTATTGTACAGAAACAAATATTCTGTAATAATTTTGTGCTACTTCTAATTGGCAATTATTGTGTTTGCAAAAAAAAGGATGAAATTCAGCACGTTTCACATCCAGTAACAACTTTTTTTCATCCATCTAGCTAAAAATGAAGATAAACAATATATGGATGGATGAGAGGTTCAGTAGGCAGGTGGGAATGTAATGGAATCAATTAGGCAAACAGTTGTGATTTATATTCTGTGTTGATAACAAAGAAAGCTTAATTTAGTTTATCTTGCCTCCGTCCTGCTATCATTTATTTTTCATGTTTATGATGATAACATATAAATCCTTCTTCCTTTTCATGAAAAAGTTTCTCCGTGTCAATGGAGAAACTGCAGGAGTAACTGTTCTTACTATTCTTAATACAGACTGCAAAATGTAAATGCACATATCAGTGTGACTATATAAAAACAAAGACAATGACAATGAATTTCTATGTGTCATCATGTTAGCACGAACAATCTATGGATCTGTAATGGAAAAAAGACCCTTGCTTGCTTAAGATTGCAAATAACATTCTTCTGTAATGAAACCCCTCTGTTCCTCGTTCTGTTTTCTATTTCCCTCATTCTCTCCCACTCTTATCCCTCCTCGCTGCAGTGTTCTTGAGAAGTAGAACTTGTCTGGCCCTCATTAATGTCCTTGGCATTCGCTTGGCTTTGCATCTCTCTCCCCAGCCTCTTACAGCTTCATCCCACATTCTAGCCATGCCATCCTTGTAGCCGCAACACTAGCAGGCTTCAACTGCAATTAGTACTTGTGTCATCACACATTCACAAGCACACACACACACACACCGTAGAAGCATTTAGGTCGAGATATTTTTTGTGTGCACTTCCACCCTTTCCATTCTTTAACCCTGCAGCCCTCTCAATAATGATGGACTTGTTGGACAATAATTAGACTGAGTTAATAAGCATTCAGCTGGTCCAGGAAAACAAGGGGATGCTGTGTTCCCTTCCATTAATGCTTTATTATAGGCCTATCTACTTTAAACTCAATGGAAGACTGACAATATGTAGCACCAGTGGGGTATTATCTTATTTTGTGACAGGTTTATCATTGGCTGTTGTTGAAAGAATGCGGAAAGGGTTGCTTGCTGTTTAGGCATAATAGTACTGTGGTGATTAGGTAAGATAAAGTTCCTCATGAACACTGATCAAAGTTTGCTTTTCTTTGTGTGATGTGCTGTACTGGAAGCCAGCCATAAAAGGAATGTGTACTGCACAGTGTTGATAAGTTCTATCGCTCTGTACAATCTGATACTGTTTGTGGCATTAGCTTGCAAAGGCTACAAATTGTCACAGTATCTCATTAGCTGCAGTATGGCTCTTTCTTTTGGAGCCATACTGCAGCCCTATCACAGAATTCGGAAAACTAGGCAAAGTCATTACCGTTTACACTTTTTCAATCTCTTCAATCTTTTCATGTTCTGAGATCACTCCTTTATCCCTCACATTCTATTTTTCATCACAACTTTATCCTCATTCATACCCTCAAACACTCTTTAAACTTGAGGAAATGAGACCCACGTCTTTTGGAGACAAAAAAAAAATGAAGTAGGGTCTGGGGTGATCACCAGAAAGTTTTTGACACGAAAAATCACCCTTAAGCTGGTGTTGAATGTTTTAGAGCGAGCTGGTCTCTTATTCTTAGGGGGATAAGACAGCTCCCGTGTCTGCTTGTCTGCCGGGGCTTTGGAGGTAGAGGAACGGCTGCTACCTCTTTTGCTCTCCCCTCTCATCTCTTCACACTAATTAGAGAGAACTGGTTTTAAATCTTAGTGTGGACACACATCCTCGCCCTGCACACAGGTGGGTGCGCGTAGTCATGTGTATTCATCAAAGCTTTTCTGAAAGAGCATGTTTTTGTCAAAATGCATTAAAAAACATATTTTAGGTCAACATTTTATTTGTGAGACATGTTCATGCATAGTGTGACCATTCTGTGTGTATGTGTGTGCTCGTGAATATTGTTCAGTGTGGTGGCAAATCACCGCAGGCGATGATAAGGATGAGGCTTAAGAGGTGGGCTCTCCAAGCCTAATCACTGCACCCATTTCAAAGACGAGGATGCCAATTAAAACTGATAGGGCTCAATATAGGCTTTTGGGGTGCCACAGTGAAGAGCAACACTGCCAACATGAAAATCAATCCCCCCCCCATCTATGGGTTAGGAGATGAGGTTAGCCAGTCAGTGATCTGAAAGGAGTCTCTGATAAATATGCAGGCTCTATAAGGAGCTGCAGTGGGGGCAAGAGGGACTGACTTGGGGGTCATGGAGAGAACACAGAGATCTGTAAGTCCCCAATCACCGTTTGTGTGTGTCAGTGTATGTCGGAGATCTGAAGGTCTGTGATCTCCACTTCAGAAAGTGGGTGGAAAATTGAGTTAGTGGGTCTTTGATATATATACTCACTGACACTTTTTTAAGTACAGGTACAGATGCATATCTAATGCAACCCTATACAAAGTAAATTCCTCTGTACTTAATAAAGAGATAAAATTTCTTAATATTTCACCCTTTCTTGTGTTTTGATATGGTGAAAAAACATCTTTATAATATTAATGCAAACAGTAGTAGAGTTGACAGTGGTTTCACAGGTATACCTAATAATGTGGCTAGTGAGTGTATATATGAGAGTAATAAATTCATCAGCTATTAATTATGAATATTTATCTGCCACTAAGATCCATATCATACAGCCGTTTTATGTAAGAAGGGAACTGGGTATTCATATTGGTAAAGTTACTGGAGCAGTTTAAAGTTTTGGGAAGAAGTCAGAAATTAAACCATCTAGCCACATAAATGGCATCTATACATGAGGACGACACTGATCTTCATATCTAACCCCCAGGCAAAAGGTGAAAAAGATTATACCACAAAATGTCAGATAATTATTTTACAGACATGGGAATGAAACATAATCAAACATCAGACATAAAATTAAAGTGACATCAATCACAGAAAAAGGACAGCAGCAGTATGTAAAAAGATGTCATTATAAAGGACATTAATCATAGTAATGGAATGACAATAAAGACAAACCAAAAGAACGCACATTTTCTTTTTTTTATTTTTTTTTAATATCAGTGTCTCAACATTTAGGGTTTAGAATCACGAGGAATTGCAAGGAATTATCCCACTGAAGTCAAACACTTAAGCTGTGCGCTTTCCTCCACTGTACAAGTGTTGTAGGTCACGCTCTGCTCAGGCAATTTGTGGCGACGTCCAATATCTTGCAGTGCATGTTTGTGTGCTTGCACAGATGTGTGTGAAGACTAACGCAATCTGACAAGCTGATAACATATTTCATGTCATATCGTTTGACATCATTAACTAATAAAGATTGATTGCCCTTTGTTCCCTGTCAGAGAGTGTTTATCCTATTGCCCTGCTGCTGTTTTAGAGGATTTTTGTGGATATGTGTCTGCAAGAATGAAACAGGCAAAGAGGAGTGTTTCTGAGAAGCTTAAGGCTTTCCAAGCCATAGATCAGATGGTGGTTGGACCCAACCCTCTCCCATGATGCTCTGCAGGCGAAAATCTTTGAAATACTCTAGCCGGTGACTAGAAGACAGAAAGACAAATTTAATATATTATGCATAAAGTAGTGAAATACACATTTATATACATGTAATTTGAAATGACAAAGTTGACTAATGTGACTCTAAAAGGTACAGATTGTGGATTGGACATAAGTACCATTTGATCTACACCTGTTTTACAACTTAAAGGCGCAGTATGCAAAATCTCATCACTAGATGTCAGTAGACTGCAGTTTCCTGTTTCCTTAACCCTCCCAATTCAAGTGCATTATTTATGTTTGCTGTAGGACAAACATGTTTTAATTTGTTTTTGCACGCGCAATATTTTAAAATATTTGGATAATATCAACACGTAGCAATAAATCAGAAAAAAAAAAAGAAATTTGCCAAATATTTTTTGCAGTATTTTAGGTTTTTAAAACCCAAGATACCACAAAAATTCTGGCTGCAGACTACCGTTTAACAAGTTTGAGTGTAGGCTGTCAGTCCGCTGTTTAACTCAGTTTTCAATATGCTGAGTGTCCTAGTCTATTTAACCTGGTGGAGGCTGTAAAACTTTGTGAAAGGAGTGTTATATGAGTCAGTGAACTTTCAGTGAACTTTTCTCTTGGTAAGTGGTGCTGTTGTTGCCAGTTAGCTGCTGTAACCGGCATTAGTGAAACTTGCTTTGAAGTGGATCTAACATTGTTGGACAGATAGCAAATGAACTGTCATACAATATGAGAATGTAATCAACTGGGAAAGCATAATTTTTAGAGCCTACATTAGGTTGATTAATATTAGCTTATAAGGAGAATAACCAGAATAAATAAGCATGTTTATGCATGTTTTGTGTGTTAGAGCACTGATTTCAGTTCGTGAAATGAGACTTCAGTTGAGGACGAAAACAATGAGGTGGAAATGAGGGAGGAGAGAACAGTGGTGAAGAAGGCAGATGAAGAGGAGGAGAAAGCGATAATGAAAATATACATTTGCAAATGTTAAATAGTCCTATGGAGTTTGAAAGAGCTATTTATGACATTTGAATTAATAGTAATACCATGAATATGGACAGTCTCTAGCCACGTATATAACATGTTATTAGGTGGAACGGCGATTTCTATCTTGGCTGCTGTTTTCAAGATGTTGCCATGGCTTCCATAAACTGGCGGCCTCTCCTATTTATTTTGTATGTATTTTCTGAATATTTTAATGAATTAGTGTAAAATTCTTTTTTCTTTTAAATTTCTTATAAAATGACTTACTGTACCTTTAAAAGAATATACAAAAAAAGGTGTGATTTTGCACATGAACCTCTTTTTCTGTCTCAGTGCCTCACGACAGCACCACTATAACATAAAATGTCTGTGCACATGACCTATGGCACATCAAACTTCACTTGTAGAAGTCAGCATACTCACAAGTTAGGCATTTGTCCTTCGGCTATCTCCTCCTTGGGGATGGGATAAAGAGCCTCATATATACGATTCTCTCCTGAGCCATGGATCGCGTAGGAGTTCATCTTGTTGACATTGGGAGGGAAGTATGTCCAAGGGATGAGAGCCTCACCTGTCCATCTGTCTCCAGTGATCTTGGTGTTAAATACCATGGGAAGCTGTTGCTGGAGAGAGAAATCAAAAATGTAAGAAATATCCCATAAACCCAAAAAAACCCTACGAATACCTCCATACGCAGCCTACCAGGAATGCTTGGCCGGCTCCTGACAGTAGTAATATCAGGTGTTGTCCATGTCTAAAGTAAAAACACAGGGAAGACGTGTCATTGTTCCACTGTTTATAAACATATGGCTATATATACATGGGCAGAGCAAGAGCTCAGCTTGGTACTCACGGACAAAACTCGACTTCCAGGTAATTTTCTGTAGTACTATCAAGGAAGAAGGTCTCTACAACTGATGAGATATGGAAAAATGAAGATAAGACTTTTAATCTCACATTAATAAACTGCTTTAACTGTCTTATTAACCTTATCAGCACTTATTTAAAAAAAAAAAGACAAAAAAGTAATAATTAAATTATTCAGGTCATTCATTTTTGACTCAGACTTTAACAGTAACATGCAAAAATAACAATTACATAAACTTTTAAATACAACCTAGAATCATGCTCTTTATCTACCTAGATCATAATGGGGTTGGTTTCCAATCTATTAAGTAACATTAATGAGACCAAATATGTGGGGCTCATTAAACGGAAATCGAACTTACTTGAGGTCAATTAGAACCAATTGTTATTACTCAGCCTCATTGTGAGGTTTAATTGCTGTGTCGCCATAATAATGATAATGCAGTTACTGTAATGATCCCATAAACAGACAGTCTCTAGTCTCTTCAGCCACAGTAGACTTTATTCATATTATTTCAGCTTGCCAAAGGGCCTAAAATTGCATCCTAGGGACTAAATTACATAATCATAACTGATGGTTCCGTAACTACGGCTACAACAAGCATGGGGACCATAAAAGTAACACATGTACAATACTACAATCTATTACAATAAGCCATAAATGTGACCTTTTTAAAGATAATGAATTTCCGTTGGAATCAGCCTTATGAAGTCTGGAGCTTGTCGGTTATATAATTGCTGTTTCTCATTTGTTAATTATAAGCGTTTAAAAGAATTGTGCTACAATTAGGGAAAGGTCTCTGAAATATTACGCTTCAGCTAGCGGCTGGTTAGCTTTTGTATATAGCAGTTTAATATGAGATGGGCCAAATGGGAACAGATTAAACAAATAAAACATAACATGTTAATTTGTGAGTTTTAGAGGCGCTGGTGAGCAGGTTTGTTTTCCAAACTGAGGTTAAAGAAAATAAGATAACAGTTTCATGGGACTAGTTTCATGTTGTATAAGTATATATGAAATTCATCAATATTCTAATTTAATATAATATGAATAATCATACTGTGCATATATATAACAGAATGCATTTTCCTGTCAATAACAAACATTTAAAAACAGTTGAAATTATGAAACCCAATTAAGCGATTAAAAGGAGATTCTATTTTATATTAATAATTTGCAAATGGGGCTACCTTTGATACATAAACAAATTAAGGGCGTAAGGCTAAAGGTATTTTATAACATATATATATTTTATAATAGGGCTGGGTATCGTCACTGATTTCTATAACTGTTTCAATTCCGATTCGATTCAATTTTGACTCAGTCAGAAATATTATAATTCTGATCATTTATCAGTACATATCCATATTTTTATATCTATGTAGGCAATAAAAGCAAAGCTGACACTTGTGAGACTTCATCAGAGGTGTAAGAATCACAGTAAATGCCTTTGTGTCAAAGTAACTGAGGATAAAACACAGAAAAACATGAAGGAGATTTTCATGGGGTGGCTTTTTATAGCAGATAACCACCTTAAAAATATTCTGCAGTAGAACAAAAATGGAAGAAAACCACAAATCAGCATATAAACATTACCTGATGCTATTGAGGTGAAGCAGAGCAAAGTTACAGAGGTTTTATTAGAGACAGAGCTAAGCGTTTTGTAATGTATTGACAGCAGGTCTTGTCAGAGGTCTTTTTGGAAGAAAAAAAACAAACAGTGGCCGATAGCACTGTAAACAACGATAGACTGATGTGTAATAAGCAAGCGAAAAATTCAGAAAATAGAGATTTGTGATGGTAAACTGTTCTTAATGTACACTGAGAGAGGGAGCTGTGCAGGAAGTGTAATTTTATTGTGGTGGAAACAAAACAACCAAGGTAAGATATTTTTCAAACATGAAGCATAGTTTTGATCTTCTTTTGCTGCTGGTTCTGTGAATTTCGTTTGGAGTGACGAAACCGACAGCTTCAGAATCTGTGAGATGTCGACTTTCAGCACCCGACGACATGTCTGTGTGGACGACCCGATGGTCGCGCTTTGTGTTTACATCTTTATGCAGAATCTTTTTACTGGCTCTTTTAACCGTTTGCTGTTTTACCTGTTTGGCGGTTGTTGAAATAGTTTTGTGAGCTTTAAGCTGACATTCTGGCATTTCTGATAAAAAAATATTTATATTTAAAAATTCAGGATATCATGAATTCATATCACATTATTTGAACTAAAATCGATTTGGTTTTTTTTGTTTGTTTTTTTTTTTGCACGGACTAAACCCCTAAAAGCTTGTGTCTTGTGTTAAAAGAAAGGTTGCATGGCTATGGAAGCAACAGACCAATCTACCCACCTTCATAATTCCACAGTCCAGGGAAGGCCTGGCTTGGGGGCCCTGCAGGAGCAGCCGGGTCATTGAAGAATGGACCAGACACCTCCACCTTCAGGCCTCCTAACCCAGGAGAGAAGGTGATTTTGAGGGGGTCATGATTTACAGGGTTGCTGTCCCAAGTGTGTTCGATGTCAAACTGCATTTGCGTGCGAGGACTGAAAGAAAGAAAATCACTCAGTCTTAAAATCTGCTGTGTGAGCAGCGACACAGGGAACAAAAAAGCTACAAAACTTACAGAGATTCACAGCATAGCAGAATGTGGAAAAGTGTTATAAACTGCAGTCCACGAGTCACCCCCATGTTTGTTTTCACTGGCTACAGGACAAGAGTGCTCCGAGTGCGCGTGTAATTTCTTTAAATACTCTGCGTTTCACCCTTTGATTCACCCGCAGTTTGTTATCAAATTGTGTAAAACAGAATAATGTTATCAGTAACAAGACAGTAAAATCATTTTCCTGGTAAAGCAAACGTCCGAGGATTACACTTACTTGATAAGATCTGAGAGTAAAACGATAAGCAGAGGACGATATTTTCCAACTCTATGCTGATTACGTTTTCATGCAATATGTGGTTACAGCTGTATGGAAATGTCTATCCAGCAATTTTTTAACCACTATTTGTGACACATTCTGACGAACTAGAAACCATAATCTCTTTTCACGTGATGACGTTATATATCATACCTTAACAAACAACTGAATTCAAACTGTTATATATGCAGAGTTGGCATTATTGACTTCCAAATGTATTCTACATCTGCTTCCTGATTTTTATTTTTTTTAAAGGAACATCCTTTCGCGTTTCTTGTACAGACGGAATGACTTTACGGTTGCACAGCTTCTTTTCCATTGGTCCCCGTTTGTTTACTTCAAAACAAGAGGCGGAAACGAGGATTGAAGTAAAAACATCTATTATGAATTAAAATTTTCAATGCGATGCATTTGCGTATTTTTTTAAGCGCATCCTGTCTCGGAAAATGTGTTTGGTGTTTTGTTGAAGAGATCAAAACACTGAGTTGTTTTGATTAGCTTAGCCGAGATTGATTAGCTGCTTTAGCTAACACGAGCTGCACAAATTTACTACAGGTAGCTAGCTAGTTTGTAGTGAACGTTTCTAGCGGCTTTGTGTCATCTTTACCTGAATTAGTACATTCTTAAACGACAGTTTTCTCTTCGTGTTCCGAAACGTTAACTTGAAAAGAACCCCTAGATTAGTGGTGCCAGGTTTGACAGGCTTTAAGTGTTCGTCTTTAGTTTTGGTAGTGGTGGTCGTTTTTGCCAGTGCAAATTCTTTTGCTTCTCTTTAGACGACATCGTAAGCATGGAGGCAGAACTGGAGTTTTTGCGTGATCAAGGTGAGACGAAACTTGGAAACGACATGCATATTTTTCTGTTACGCCGTTTAATCCATCAGTTTTTGACACTGTTCTATGTTAATTTCTTTTTTAAGCCATAGGTGGTCCCTGTATAAAGATCAATCAATTATATGGCGTGCATTTTTTGGATGTTTACAGTCTTCTGCTTGTGATGATCACTAGAACATCTATGCTTTTTTGTGTAAGTGTCCTCGTTTTTGTGTCATTTCAGTCCGCAGGCTAAATTCTGCTCTCAGCCAGTATCAATATGGGCACGGTGCTCTGTCCACATCTTCTCAGGTACGAAGACATAAGATAAAATGGGTTATGATAACTCTTTATTGTCATTGCACAGTCATACTTGGTACTATAGTACAATGAAATTAGAAACCGTCTCATTTCGGCACTAAGCACAACACAACACAGTAGATTTTTAAAAAGTGCAAAAAAAGTATGACTTAATAAATTAAAGAATGAATGTTTATTGCACATTATTGCCCCCCCCCCCAAAAAAAAAAAAAAAAAAGTAAAGAGAGATGACCAATCAGGTCAGATGTTAACATTGACTGGGGCTATTGCCCTGTTGTAAAAGCTGTCCTTGAGTCTGTTTTTTCCGCGGCCTCAGCAACCTGAATCTCCTCCCAGATGGGAGGCAGATTAAACACCCGGTGTCCTGGGTGTGTGCAATTCTGTAGGATGCTGCATACCCTCTTGAGGCAGCAAGTGCTAAACTTCAGGAATGTAAGAGGATGTCCAGTGATTTTTGGGGCCATATTTAATGACCCTTTGAAGTGCCTTTTTGTGTGGCATGGTGCAGCTAGAGAACCATACAGAGATGCAGTAGGTCACCACACTTTGAATGGAGCAACTGTAGAAGATGATCAGCAGCTCCCACTTAAGGTCCATTTTTCTGAGGGTTCTCAGAAAATGGAGATGCTGTTGGGTCTGCTTTATAACCTCCGAGGTGTTTGAGGTCCATTGGAGTACTGTGTCTATGTGGACACCCAGGACCTTGAAGCTGGATACCATTTCCACGCACTCCCCATTGATGCTGATGGGCTGCAGCTCAGACTTCTTTCTTCGAAAGTTGACTATAGCTGTTTTGTTTTGGTGGTATTGAGGCCCATATTGTTGTCCGCACACCTGTCTGACAGCCTCTCAAACTCAGCTCTGTATGCTGTCTCATTGCCCCCAGAGATGTGCCCCACCACAGTGGTATCATCTATGAACTTATTTACTGCATTGTCTGGGTGGGTACTGACATAGTCATGTGTGTGTACAGTAGAATGATCTTCAACTTAAAAACTTATGCTAGTTTAGCTCATCTAAAATTAATCAAGTATTTGGCATCTTCAATAAAAAAAAATTGTGATTGTTTTTTTTTTTTTTTTAACTGAGAAAAGTAAGTTTTTGATACAATTAACTACTGCTAGCCCTCACCCCTTACATGCCTTATGTTTGTTAGGTTGAGGAGGAAAGACGCACTGAGTCTCCTGTGCCCTGGATCTCAGATAGAGGGTCAGTTCATCAGTTTCATACCACTTTGTAGACACGTTAGAGACACAGCATTCACTAGAGATTCAGCAAGACAGAGTTATGGTGAATACAAAATTTAAAAAAAAAATTTTCCCCCCCAGTACTGAAACATCATTTGTCTGTGTTGCAGTATAATGGCTCCTCTGATAGCTGAGTATGATCGGCACATGGAAGAAATGACTGAACAGCTGCAGAGATATCAGGTAAATCAACAAAACAACATCCTGAAATAATAAAACATCCTTCATCTGAAATGTTTGAATACACAGGCGTGTGGTGGTGGGTGCTTGATGAAGTGATGTGATTTATAGATTTAAGTCCTTGAAATCTATTAAACTGATAATTCAGAAGTCAAAGACTTTGATAGAGGTAGCTGGGAAATAAATATCTTAATCCTGAGATTTCTTGGTCATCTGATGCATTAAATATGTCGGGATGTTATCAATGACTCTCAGTGTTCACGTACAGACACAGATGACAGACGTCAAATTGAAGTTGGAGAGGGTTGTCAAGGAAAATGAAAGGTAAAAAAAAATATAAATCCACTCATGTTAATATGTAATAAGTTGGTTGCACAACAGAACATGACAAATGTACTATTTTCAATAAGTTAAACCTGTCATAAGATATGGCATTATTCAGTATTGTGTGTGAATTTGTTACTTGAATTATTTTACATTCAGTGGCTGATTGATTTTCTATGACCTACCACAAATCAGGTTGCTGTAATTAGTGCGCTCATTTGTCTAGTAATTAGAGCTTTGATTAGAATTCTGGCATCTTGACCATTTGCATTCCAGCTAAATAATTAACCTTATGAAGGTTGTTCTATTTTATTTAGCACTTAAAACTATGCATGCTGTTAATGTATTTATTTATTTATTTTTGTGACATAACCTCTTAAGTCTGAATACTTTTTCCAGGCTTCATGCAGAGCTGAGAGAGTCTGTTGAGAAGCAGCTTCATGCCCTGCCCACAGCTTCAGGAGTAGAGGGCAGCACGTTGGAAGAAGATGCGGTCATCAAAAATCTCCAAGAACAGGTCCAGCTGTCTGAACAGGTCTGCATAAATGTCCGTTTGATATGTCTAAACATTTGTAGATTAAGACACACTTTTTTCTTCTTTTTTTTTTTATATAAGAAACACATCGTGTGTGGGGCCTTTCTAGCCTGTGTGTATATCCATCAGCCTGGAGTTTGAAGTCACACATCCATAGGTCTTTTCTGCACTCTTCTGTTCTTAAACACCAGGAATTAGAAGCTGACAAAGTTTTTCAGTACGTGTTTTCCAAAACTTGAAAGCAAGCACATGGTGTCAAGAAATGCCAATATTTTAAGGAAGGAATTCTTATTTAACGTTAGAAAAGGGAATCATCTTAAACTGTAAAGTGTATTAATCTAAATTTGCAACTTGCTCAACCCTGAACATTTGTAGAATTCTTGCTATAAAAAGGAAAGAATTTAGAAAATTCATCCTAACTGTGTTACAGAAGTTTATTCAGTTGCGTCGTGTTGCTGTTTCTTCTATTTTTCAGTCCATTTCAGCTTGATGTGGCTTAAGTCTGTACAGACCTTGTGTCATTAGAAAGACTCCTTGTAGGTCTTTGCTTCAAAGGTTATCTTGCTATAAACTGAATCTGTGACTATCCAACCTGTCTTCCTTTAATACCTGGCTTTTTCTCTTTAGCCTGATAAGATTTGACAGTACTGCTTATCAGAGTAGGGTGTAGTCTTAATCATGTATCCAAGGTTGTAGTAACAGTTTGGTCCAGTAAGGTTAATTGTGATCATTTAAGTTCTTTTCTGCATAAAAGCTGTAAGTTAACAAATTCCTTAATTCCTGAAATTTGTTTGTGACCAGCACGGTGGCACAGTGGTTAGCACTGTTGCCGCACAGCAAGAAGGTCCTGAGTTCAATTCCACCATCAGGCCCGGGTCTTTCTGTGAGGAGTTTGCATGTTCTCCCCGTGTTTGCGTGGGTTCTCTCCGGGTACTCCGGCTTCCTCCCACCGTCCAAAGACATGCACTTATTTTTTTTTTTTTTGCCTACTGTATGAGAGCTACAAAGATGTATTAGGGTTTTGTCTGTTCATTCACTGACCAACTAAAAGCCATATTCGCCTCGAATACAGGTTAAACTAAATATTCAGGTGATCGACTTAAAAATGTAATATTATAACAATAATAAAGCTTTCTCTCTTTTTGTTAAGTAGCACTCAGAATAAATGTTTGTGAAGCTGAAATGTATTAATGTGTATGTTTATTTTGTATGGACACTAAAACCGCAACAGGGCCTTGGCTGAGCTGAAGTGCAGCTGGAATTTAGCTGGATGCTGTGAACATTCATTGTGACTGGAAGTTAGATCAGACGATCAATATTATTTTGATCTCTGTGGATTCAGTGGAGAGCACAAGGAAACAGCCACTCTGGCTTTGTCAGAATTGCTTTCTGACAGTTAAACATTTGTACCGTCTGTGTATTCTTTTTTTTTTTTTTTACATATGCAACATTGGGAAATGATACATAATTCTTTTT